AGTGTGGAACTAAGTAACGAATGACAAAGGGTTCATGACTGGGGGAAAGTGAGACAATATCCTTACTTTGTGGGACTTTTCCACACTTCCACACCTCTGGGAAGTGTAGAACTAAGTAAAGAATGACAAAGGGTTCATGAGTGGGGGAAAGTGCGACAATATCCTTACTTTGTCAGACTTATCCACACTTCCACACCTCTGAGAAGTGTGGAACTAAGTAAAGAATGACAACGGGTTCATGACTGGGGGAAAGTGAGACAATATCCTTACTTTGTCAGACTTTTCCACACTTCCACACCTCTGAGAAGTGTAGAACTAAGTAAAGAATGACAAAGGGTTCATGAGTGGGGGAAAGTGTGACATTATCCTTACTTTGTCAGACTTTTCCACACTTCCACACCTCTGAGAAGTGTGGAACTAAGTAAAGAATGACAAAGGGTTCATGACTGGGGGAAAGTGAGACAATATCCTTACTTTGTCAGACTTTTCCACACTTCCACACCTCTGAGAAGTGTGGAACTAAGTAAAGAATGACAAAGGGTTCATGAGTGGGGGAAAGTGAGACAATATCCTTACTTTGTCAGACTTTTCCACACTTCCACACCTCTGGGAAGTGTGGAACTAAGTAAAGAATGACAAAGGATTCATGACTGGGGGAAAGTGTGACATTATCCTTACTTTGTCAGACTTTTCCACACTTCCACACCTCTGAGAAGTGTGGAACTAAGTAAAGAATGACAAAGGGTTCATGAGTGGGGGAAAGTGAGACAATATCCTTACTTTGTCAGACTTTTCCACACTTCCACACCTCTGAGAAGTGTGGAACTAAGTAAAGAATGACAAAGGGTTCATGACTGGGGGAAAGTGAGACAATATCCTTACTTTGTCAGACTTTTCCACGCTTCCACACCTCTGGGAAGTGTAGAAGTAAGTAAAGAATGACAAAGGGTTCATGAGTGGGGGAAAGTGAGACAATATCCTTACTTTGTCAGACTTTTCCACACTTCCACACCTCTGGAAAGTTTGGAACTAAGTAAAGAATGACAAAGGGTTCATGACTGGGGGAAAGTGAGACAATATCCTTACTTTGTCAGACTTTTCCACACTTCCACACCTCTGGGAAGTGTGGAACTAAGTAAAGAATGACAAAGGGTTCATGACTGGGGGAAAGTGAGACAATATCCTTACTTTGTCAGACTTTTCCACGCTTCCACACCTCTGGGAAGTGTAGAAGTAAGTAAAGAATGACAAAGGGTTCGTGAGTGGGGGAAAGTGAGACAATATCCTTACTTTGCAGACTTTTCCACGCTTCCACACCTCTGGGAAGTGTAGAAGTAAGTAAAGAATGACAAAGGGTTCATGAGTGGGGGAAAGTGAGACAATATCCTTACTTTGTCGGACTTTTCCACACTTCCACACCTCTGAGAAGTGTAGAACTAAGTAAGAAGTGAAGAAACTCTGGATTTCATGGCCAGGGCTGGACATGGCTCAAAAAAAATTCAATGAAAAGTGTACTACGACAACAATTTTCATTCAAGAGGGCAAATAATGTGACCGAAATGTTTCTCAAAATCCCTTTAAAACTTTTTTTTCTTCGTGTGTAATTTTTTCTTACCCGGCTTCGAGTTTGGAATGGCCAATACTGGATGAATGTACCTAGAAGCAAGAATTTGGCGAAAAGCTTTGTTTTTACAACCAACACTTTGACAAATGAGTATTCTTTAGAATTCGTTCTTTCCAACTGTGTCCAGAAACAGGCGTATAAGTTTGTTTTTTTTTAACCTGATAACGTGAGGCCATGCATGGTCTGGAATATTACCCGTTGCCGTCAATGACATAACACCTGACGTAATTATGCCCGACTTAAAAAACAAAAGTCTAACCAGACAAAAAAATGTAATAATTACTGATCAAAAGCTCGCCTGAAATGCAGCTCCTGAAAGCCATTAAGTTAGAACAACGCTTAAGCTTTGTCTTGTATTCTGCGTGAATGGCAGGTTTAAGTATAGCCAATAAGCCCACTTTTAAATCGATCGTCCCTTACAGAGTCTCTCCTTCTCCTCTCCCAGAGTTAGGTTTCTGAATTTTTTTTCAGCTATGGGGCTTCGAGCGGAAGCTTTACTATAACTTTCCACAAATGACTCTAGCTAGCTGAGGCGGGTGTTTAGGACAGTGCTTAGGACCGTACAACCATTAACTCCAAACTTCGTCTTTGATAAAATTTTCCTCGCCTTTACCGAACACTTTCCAGCGGAAAGCGTAAGCCAGGCCATATTGCAAGATAAGACCACAGTGGCGAAGCTTTGCTAAAAATTTGACGGGAAATCCGTTTTTCAAAGATTGCCAGGGGATGTGACGCCAAAAACGGTTTAAAAAGGCAAAACTTTCAAGGGTCAAGACGTCCTTCTTTGGGGTCCGTTTGAACATTCTTTTGTAAACTTCTTAAGTCCTACTTTAAGTTCAAAATATAAAGAAATTTTCTCCAAGGTCGCCGACATTATTTTAACAATCAGACAAGGCTGAGCACCCTTCGAGATCTGAATAAAAGAAATGTTTGGAAATCGAGGAGTGTGATTATATTCATGGTTTCCCTTTTAGCCATTTGTTGACTTCCAATCAAGCCTCTATAAGAGTGCTTTTCATTTGAGCGTTAAAGAAAGTGATGATTATTTTGGCGTCATAATGCTACTTTTAGAGACTGACTGAAATTTTATCAACTAACCAGACACGTAGTCTTGTTTGCATTGGCGCCGAGTGCATGAACTGACTTTCTGTGCATAATGCGGTTGACAAGAGGAATCATGACAAATTTGGTCCTACGAAGCTCTTTTGAAAACTACTGATGTTGACGCAAATTCGAAAAATATATTTTCATTCTGGCAATCTTAAGCGTTATTTTCTTTTTCTTTTTTTTAGGTTTAGAAGAAAACGAAAGCGTCCCCATTCCTGTGATTCCTCCCCCACGTGCGCCGTCAACAGGAGAAAAGGAAGAGTCCGTGCAGATCTCAATTTCAGTTACTACAAACCAAGTAGGAGTCCGAAAAATTAAGATGATACGCTTTCGCATATCCGGTCCGGCCGAAGTCGGAAGTAACAAGGCAGGGGCAGATCTAGGGGGAGGGTGCAGGGGGTGCGCACCCCAGTGGACTGTTTTTCGCGCACTCTTATTGGCTACTCAATCACTGAATTCACAACTCCTTTTGAAGACATTTCTCCGCAAGAGCTAAACAAATGCCCTCAAAAGTTTTATTGGTCGACAAGAAAAAGCGACGGCTGCGGCCGTTCGGTCATTGCTCGCCAAATTGTAATCGTTGGCAATAATTAAGCAATCGTGCTTAATTATCTCTGGTCACTGTTTCAGTATATACTAAAACAAAATAGTATCCACGGAAGTGGAGGTGGCAAAGGGTAGATATTTACCTCGCCGCTTTGTGTCTCGGTAAACAGCACCACTAGCCACCTCCACTTCGGTGAATAATTGTCAGGTGTATGTCCCTAAATAATAAAAAAAATAACTAAATAACAATTTTGAAAACCGCAAGATCGTAGCTATAGATTAACAAAAAAAAGGGATGCACCATCTGATTGATATTTTGGAACTGCGGATTGAAATCATTCTGGCTTGCATAACAATGAGGATTTTCAGGGGTTGAATTTGAGTGAGGGAGTTGTTAACTATATTCAACATAAGCTGAACACGAGAAAGGGGGCAACTTTCTTTTCTTTGGTTTCATTTTCTAACTCAGTTTGATATTTGCTTTGACAGTATGAATGGAATTTCCAAACAGACAAGACTTTCAAGGAAAAAACTTCTTCTGTTACAACAAGCTTTTGTTCTCAGAGCAGAGTAAAATGCGAATTAAAGGAAGCAAGGCGTAAAAGGTAATTATCATAAGTGGCCGAAAAGTTTCCATTCCAAAGTTTTCATTCTCTCTTTAAATTTATGATTTGAATGAAAATTTACTCGTTGAAAGTCTATAACACTCCTCTTTGAGATTCCCCTAAAGCGCCATAGTGCAGGTTACTCGGTAAATGGGCTCAGTTTCATAGTTCACATTAATTTGCTAGGATGAAATCCTGACTGGGAAAATACAGTAGAATTTCGAGACAATTCAAAATGGAACTGTCTTCCCTTCCTGTGAAACACGCTAATTCCTTCCTCGATTTCTCGAACCCCCCGAAAATTCTATCCTTTTCCCCAAGAACTTCGGAAGTTTGCACGGGGTATCTACTGTAGGGACCTTTATATTAGGCAACTAGTACTAGATTACGTGCGAAGCGTTAATTTTGAATCTATTTCCCTGACCAATAACTTGTAACACCACGGGTTTTATCCTTTCATAGTCTCCGATTTGCTCTGACGAAGGGCTAGCGTTCAAAAAGTCAGCCTTTGTGTCTCTTCGGGCTGGTGAAATTACCTTATCAACTGACCGGGTTGTTAAAACTAAACAAGCCGTACAATTCGGGGATTATTTTTTTCGTTTTTGTTTTATTATTACGATTATTATTATTAATATTATTTTTTAACTTACTCCTTTCTTTTTTTGATACGGTGACAGTATCATTGATATAATTTGCACAAAAATTCGAAAACCGTATTCGTACTCGATCTCTTGTACTCGTAGTTAGCCTTACAAGATCTTTAGTGCGGATAGGGCTAAGCAAAGTTGTGAAAGCGGGTTTAGGGACGCGAAGGGCCGGCTCCCGCGTCTTTCGCCTGCTTTTAACACAACGTTCTTTTTATCTAAGCTTTCGAGTGCATAAAAAGTGATACGACATCAGCAGGTCTTATATTTCAACACAAAGAACGGTAAACACAAAGAAAATCACACACGATAACGTGTTTTTTATCGAAACACAAATTTCTCGTTTTTTTTTTTTTTTTTTGGCGTCTCTATAATTTCTCCTTTACTGTTTTTTTATTTGATTAATTTGTTTTTAAGAAGTTGCGCGAAACGCTTTCTTCTCATACATGTAGAAAAATACTTCATTATTTGATTTGTCGGTTTCCCACCAGACGCGCCCTCGTCGACCTCTACACCGCTGACCAAGTTCATCTTCTCCCTGGTTACCCAAGGAACGCCTCAGGCTCCTTTCAGGTGGCATTTTACGTCCAGCAGCCAAGGGGTCTTTTCATTGGAAATGCGTCCATATTACCTGGAGAAACACTGGTCAACATTGTTAAAACATACAAGTCAGAGATGGAGACAGCCATCGGCGCCAACATTTCACGAGTTGAAGCGTTCATTCAATCCCTCTTGACGCCAACAACAACATCACCGACAACGCTACCAACAACGCTACCGACAACGCTAGCGACAAAAGTGCCAGACAGCAATGATACCACCAAGTGGATTGCTATTGGTGTGGGAATTGGGGTGTTTGTCTTGATTTGTTTTATTTTGCTCGTAACTTTATGGTAAGTTGCTTTGAAATTCATCGGCAATAGCCCGAACATTCGATAAAAACCAAATCTCATTCAAACTAACTAGATATATACATAGTTTCTCTCGTTGGGCCAGGTTATAGAACTTTCGATAACTCTAAAACCTTGGCACAAATATTAGGGACTATTTTATAACACGTAAACACCTAAGAGTTAACAATAACTCGTTCGAACGTGCACGTAAAAAGTGAGAATTTTTTCCTTTGAAATACGTATTTTTGTGGCATATTTGTGAAATGTAACTTGTTCTGCAAAGCAATGAAATGAAGTAAGGCTCGGGATTTATTATTGATGACAGCCGCTATTATTTAAGCAGAAGGTGCAACGATATTGCAATTCCGGTGTCCTTTTTTGGGCGTGAGTCCAATGTGTAATGTCTTTTTGCCTGAAATAATTATTCCGAGTGCAAGAGATCTTATGAAACCAAGTTGGCTTGATTTGCTTTACTGGGTAGAGAACTGCAACCGGTCATTGACAAAATGTCACAGCTCGAATTCCAGCCAAGCTAATTTTTCTGGCTACTTAATTGTTATCCACTGCATGAAAAAAACCGCGCCTACTAACGTCTTTCTTCTGTACTATTATGCTATTAATAACTTTTTGTCTGTAATCATCGCCACCATCATCATCATCATCATCATCATCATCTACATTATCATTATTATTCATTCAAAATATTTCCCCGATTCTGATTGGCTAAAAGCACACGTTTAATTCACCATAACCACTTACTGATGACCAAATTTGGAAGAATTTTGACTTTAACGAGGAAATGACGTCAAAAATGCAGCGTTTTCGCAGATTAAGGCACCGTTAACCGAGAAGACCTGGGGACGAGGTTGAGTTGTTTTGGTTGTGAACATGAAAAAATGGCGGAAATTTTTTCACTCGTTTCACGAGTAAGAACTAGTCGGAAAAATAGCTAAAAACATGGCAAGAACAGCAAGAAGACAAGTCGAAGGGAGACATCTGCTATTTGGAGAATATTTGCGGAGCTGGACAAACCTAAACGTACACTATCGAAGGTGAACTGATCATCGATGGATCGATGGAGGTAAGCATGTTTTAGCTATGTTTTTAAACTAGGAATTATTTTGAATGAATAATAAAACAGTTATTGAATTCGGCTTTCGTATTATATGAAAACTTATCAGATCTCGGAGGGTGTTATCCGCCTCAGCCTACGGCCTCGACAGATAACACCCTCCTCGATCTCCATAATTCTTCATAAGATACCCAGCCTCATTCATTAACTGTTAATTATCATCATCATCATCGTCATCTCGCTATTACTTCCAGTTGTTTATGAATTATTTATTGATAGAATTAAGTCCTTTCCTTTCTCTTTTACTTTAGGTTAAAGAAGAAGAAAAACGAGAACATTGCGATCTTACCCGACAAATCGCTGAGCATGGAAAGTCTCAAGAGAGCCAGCATGGGCCTTGACAACGCTACACACACTTAAGCATCCACGGCGTAGCTTGGCACCCTCAAAACTGATAGTTTAGTTAAAACATTTCTTCTTTAGGAGGGGCATTTGGAAAGGCCTGCCTTGAAAAGTTCAAATGCCAGGGGGTTTCCCGGACCGGGGGGGGGGGGGAATTTGAAATTTCGAATTGATTGACTTATTACTTTATCACATTATTAGACTACATCGAGCGCAAAATATTGGGAAAGCTCGGTATGCTTCGTAAAGGGTGCAAGATCATTCCGCGTAAGTCGTGTTTAACGCTTTATAACGCCATGATATTTCCAGTACCCGACTATTGCGCAGTCGTAAGGGACTCCTGTGGTAAGACTGACCGAGAGTACTTATAGATAAGCTGCAAAGGCGTGCCTCCTGTATTATTGAAGGCTACACAGTTGCACAATTGCAAATATCTCGCACATTCGGTTGGCCTACGCTCGAGTCCCGCCGGAACTATCTTAAGTTCATGCTAGTGTTAATGAGCCTTCATGGCCTGGCTCCAGCATATTTACTTAATGAATTTAGCCACTCGCGCGATTTCCATTCATATAATTATAACAAGCGCCATAGAGATTTGTTCCGTCTGCTGCTAGCTAGGACAACTAAGTACCAGGGCTCCTTCAGGTTCAGGGGAGCCAAGATCTGGAACACGCTTCCTTTGGATCTGAGGAGGTAGCATGATATTAATAAGTTTGCGTTTGGCCTAAAAAGCATTTTAGATCTAAGCCTAACTGAGCCTCCCTTACTTTTGTTATACTTACAGTAGTTTTCCATTTTTAATCTTTACTGATTTGTCCTGTGTGTTGTTGTTTTTTTTATTTTCATCAGGGCCCCACTCAAAGCAGCCTCGCTGAACTGGCCGGGCACGCCTGACTAAATATTGTTTAAAATAAAATAAATAAAATAGTTAATTAAAGTAAACCATATTTCGAGGAATCGGAGCCAGATGATATTGCCCTTGTTTAACCCGTCCCCACTGTAACGAATAGCCTTTAAAATTATTTCAGTA